CGCTAGGGATTCTCGAAAACGCGGCGCGGTTTCGCATCGCGCGATAAGGCGCGCCCGTTTGCCCGTAATGATTTTAAACTTTACGCCCGAACACTGCTGACATTAGTCACTACTACGACTATTAGTCAACCTAGCTGCCGATTAGACGGTCGACGTTAAAGTTAACTGCTGCCCACATAAACATACAGGAGTTTAAGCCGGCAATCAAAAATAACAGACGTTGGTAACAGACAGAAATTGCTGGTTACTGTACAGGTTTTTACAGAACAGTATTTTCGCAATACTAGTGTCTGATAAAGCCCATAAGGCTGGATGAGAAATTACCACAGAAGTCTTCGCTACAGCTGTATCCTAGCATAGTTCTGAACCATTTCATCAATAGATCGTATGTATACATATGTGTAGTGTGAATATGACATTAATCTGTCAATATGTTGAGAAGTTACGGAATCTCAAAGACTACAAGCATATATAACAAAAAGTGTTATATACAGAACCTAGATATTTTAATTTAAGAAATACATGTTATTGTAGTAGCGATGTTTTAAAAAGGGACCGCGCGTAGATGACAATAGTAAAACGGCTTTCGTGATGTTTTGAAGACGCAGTTTAACAATCGCACATCGTATCAGAATCTTGCCTTCCGCGGTAGTTGAACGACGCTGTAGCCAATAATTGCATCGGTTAAACGAGGAAGCCAGATCTGGTGCTGCATGATTAAGCCAGCTTGAAGAGGAACACAGAGAACCAAAGAAAAGTAGAAGCATTTATTCTTTTCGCTCTCTTCCTTAAGTTAGTGGGACCAAGCCTTATTAAAAATTGGCAACTAATATTCCCTATTTATATTGCGGACCCACTTGCTTGTCTCCGATCTTCTATCACAACAGATTTTTTTTTAATGTGCGAAGGTGGCAAACGGACATTTGCTACACCCGTAGGGTAGCAAATGCGTTGCCATATTTTAATGAAGTGGACCTGGCCTTACTCACCAGACGAACCGCAGAAGTATAACACTTCCAGTTCACGCCGGTCTTCTACGAGGTCGCGGTAGTTACCCGAACGTACTTACTTCACCTTAATTAGGCTGCACATTCGTGCAACAGAGAAGACTGCCGCGAGGCCATACCGCCATATATTTAAACAAGGAAAAAGGCGGGCGCACTCACTCTTAATGAAACAATGAATTAACGATCACTTGCAAAAACCAATCGGAACAAGGAAAGCCTTGTTTGCCCCTCGCAATCAATTCCACAGCGGATCGCTGTACAAATTCACTCGGGGCCGTTTGAAATTACAAAAGCGCTATGTTAATTTCACTGGGGTTATTTGAATCAGGCCTGACGCCTTAAACATATAACCCACGAGATAGAATAATTGCTACAGCCGATAGAGTTCACCATATATCTCTGAGGTCCGACACGAGTAAAATATTGGCGTTTTTCTAACAATAACAGATTAAGTGTCAGTGTTGAGAAACACGCAACAATTGACTGACGTATAAACTATTGGTAACGCACAAATACTGTATTATATGACGATAAATAGAAGCTTATAAAGTTTGGACTAAATAGCCGGTTTAAAAGAGGGGAATTCATCAGCTCGAAAAAATAAAGCTATGATAATAAACACAAGAGGTTGATATATCAATATTTTCAGCGTTTAGTCCATTTATCTGAGTATTAGTCAACGATTCAAATCTTCTGAAATGAAATGCCAAAAATGTTATAAATTAATATAATCTCTTCTAATGTCTATTCGGTAGAGACTAGTCAATACCAGCCAGCTAACAGCATTACATTTCTTATCGAAATATAAATTTTCTTTTAGTGCTAATCTCTGCACTTATGATAAAAAATTAAAATATGAAGAAAAACAGTGTATCAGTCGTTTGACATAGTGGTTAAAGCGTCTGGATGCAAATACGGAAGACGTGGGTTCGATTTCCGAAGCGGCTACAAATTCTCTTCTATTTTTTCTACAACTCTAACGTTCCTTTATCGAGGTTCTATGGTCCGTGGGTTCGATTTCCGCAACGGCCAAAAAATCCCATTATTTTCCACAAATTTTGATGTCAAGTCGAGTCGAAGGAATATCGGAGTCACACCTCCCGAGGGTCATGTTGTGCGTCCATTGACGTCGTTCACGGCTTAATAAGCGGCGGGGTCCAATCGCGAACGGACGACTGTGGAGTCACAGAGACCGGTTTTTATTAACACACGACGGCGGCCCGGGCTCTGGCCCTATGAGGGAGCTAACGTCGTAGGTACTCGTGTATTCTGGGTCAATATTCCCTATGTAGATCGGACTTTACCAAAATTATACAAAAAAAAAAAGAACCGAATTCAATAAACGCTATTAGCACTAAAAAGTTTATAAAATAATACTAAATCACTACGTAGTACAAAACAATGTCCCAAGTAAAATATAAAAAAAACGTCCCGCTGTCTGTCTGTCCTAATATATGCTGAGATCTTTAAAACTACGCAACGGATCTTGATGCGGTTTTTTGTACTAGATGGAGTGATTCAAAAGGAAGGTTTATATGTATTATACATTGCACCCGTGCGAAGCCGAGGCGGGTCGCTAGTTTAATATAATCAAATCTTGAAAATCTAACCTATATAACCTTACCTGCCTAACAAAATTTAACAATTTAATGCAGTCGTTAAGTCTTTTATGCTTTTCTCATGGATGCCGTTGTCAGAACCAAATTGTGGAAGCACCAGATTTCAATTAAAAAAGAATCATCAAAATTGCTTCACCCAGACGAAAGCTCTCCCAGTGACTGACGCACAAAAACCCCACACGAGCCAAAGAAACTACAATTAATACTAATAGCATTTAAATCCTTACATACTCGCAGGTCTGATATATAATACTACCATAACATTTGTAAACAAATATATGTATGTTCTACCCGTGAATTCGCCTCCGGATTGGTCTAAATATTAGAAACGGATCTCTGGGACATGGATATAGTTTTTTACACAGCGTTTAATTACTTTACCAGAAAAGTATTAATTATTATTAATTACATTTAACAAGACGCTAATATTTATGGAGTACTTTTAAAATGAGTCTAAATGATTTAGACAAATCATTCCATCGAACAAACCTCAAAATTTAAAATGCTTAGATAACTTCTTTAACCCACGCCGCCAGGATTTGAACCTGTCTTAGGCATTTCAAGTTTTATCTCAAGTGCAGAGATTAGCAATATAATTAAAGTAAAAACATTTAAATATAATTAAAATATATAAAAATATAATTTAAATTTTCATAGCTTTGTAATTTTTAATGGTGAAAGAGCTTAGAGACCATTTTACTATAAATCTGTGAAATGCGTAAAAGAAAGAAAGAAAGAAACACTAATGTCATATTTACTGAACCGGAATCTGTTCTCAGTCCGAAATGATACATAAATTAGCATTTAAACAAGTATTGTGTTAAATATTATAAATTATAATGAGCAGTACAGCGTGTTTCTCTCTTTGTATTATTAATGGTTCAACTCGAATATGATTGTGATAATTTTAAACGAAACAAAAGTACGTACAGCATCGCTTTAAACACGGCACCGATAATACGAGTGTATTCCAGTAGTGGAGCCCAGCTCTTACAAAACCAGTTACCAAGTTAGCGAGGTGCTCCTTCAGTCGCCCTAGGCCGTATGTCGGGGCGGCAGAGCTCGATTTGGAGAGTTGCGACGCTAAATTCCATCGACATCACGTAAGGGCAAGGCGTAGGTGAGTTTCGTTGATTTATTTAGATGTTGCGTTTTGAACTTTTAAACGCTCGCGCATTGTTACCGAAGCCGTCGGTTTGTTGCGATAACGTTATTTCTAACGTGGCGCGCGTTAGAGTCGCCTTTGCTATCGGGATTTATGACGAGGCTGGACAGATAAAGGGCCTCTGTTGACGGCGTAGGCATAATAAAGACCTTGGTATACAATCATTGCGACACACTAGATATTGCGCACAAGATACACATAACATTCGATTTCATGGTTACGAAATTGAATCCTATCTCGGTACGCACTTGAACGAATCAGTTTAAACATTTAAATCCTAATTGAGGTAAAAAAAAACACTTAAAATATAAGGCTTATCTATAGTAGGTACTAAAAATATACAATTAATATGTTAGCTTTGAAAAAAATCGCTAGTAATTTCCTAAATAAATTTTCAAATTACATATAATACTGCGTAATGTAGCTATATAATACAGTGATCGAGAGAGAACAAACTGAATAGTTTTTATTTTATTCCTGTTAAAAAGAAACCAAAATTGTGTTTACGTCTAACAATGTTCTTTAACTAATATTACCTTCATCATTTTTCTAATCAAGCTCTTTCGACTTTAAACTTTAATGGTAATGATGATATTATTATCTCATAGAACTGTCATCCCAAACCTGACAGATGAAATCCTAATACGATACTTAAATACTATAAACATATCATTGTTTTACAATGTCACGACAAGACAAAAGCCGTGATAGCTCGGTGTCCGGGCGCTCGCATAAATTAAATTTACTCGAGCAACCAGAGTTCGATCCCCGGTGCCAGCACGAATGATATTATTAATTTTAAGTGCTGACTTATCACGTGCTCGACGGTGAAGGAAAACATCGTGAGGAAAACTGCATATTTTGAAACAAAAATAAATAAATAACAAAAAAAATATATATTTCGAAAATATGTGAAGTCCGCCAATCCGCAGTGGGGCCGCGTGGTGGAATATGCCCTGATACCCTCTTTACAGAGGAGGCCTTTGCCCAGCAATGGGACATTTATAGGCTGTTTCTCTTTTCACAAACTCTCTAAGGGCAAATTCGCTAAAATTCTGCTATCAAACGCGCAAATTAAGTCACGCAGTCATCGCCGTTGCAAATGTCCACGTATATATTTATATATAATATCACTTAACATCAGTTGACCCGCCGGCTCGCTTGCTATCTTCTTACAAAAGCATACGCTCGGTTATCATGGTTCTCACAATGAACAGCCAAGTCCAGAGTTATCGTGTGACTCCAGGCGCTGGAAAGAAATTAGCATCAGAAAAAAGAAAGAAAAGCATGCGCTTCGTTACCGCGGTCTTCACAGAGAACGGCCAAGTCCAGAGTTATCGTGTGCCGCCAGGACCTGGAAAGAAATTAGTATCAGAAAAAAGAAAGAAATCATGCACTCCATTACCGTGGTCGTCATACAGAACGGCCAAGTCCAGAGTTATCGTGTGACGCCAGAGCTGGTAAGAAATTAACAGCGCAGAGCGGGAATAGGAAATAATCTGTCACGGGTGCCAGGCGGTGGTGCGGGCAGTATCGAGCGCTTTTCACTCGCCGGAGCACCGCACGCAAATGTATCGAAAGTGACCCGTGCTTTCCCGTGTTAGATGTGTCGAAACGCTAAGCGAAACGAACGGAGAGGCCGTGCATTACCTTGCTAATGCGGTCGTGGGTTCGATTCCCACAGGGGACAACTATTTTTGTGAAGCACAGATAGTTGTTTTGCATCTGGGTGTTTGTCCGCGTGATATTTATGTTTGTAAAACGTCCTTACAACACAGGACAATGTTATCCTAAAGTAAGGGCAATGCTTTTTTTAAATTCAAAAAAAAAAAAAAAAAAAAAAAAAAAAAAAAAAAAAAAAAAAGGACATTTGAACGACTAATGAGATAATCGAAGTAACACAATACCACTCAAGCCCTTATTTCACTTTATTTTGACCCATGAATCAATTATGCTTTACATTTCATTACAATCTCGGTAAATTATCAGATCAAACATGATTCGGGCAGGCCCGTCCGGGTAAGTACCACGCCCTCACAGAAGACCAGCGTAAAGTGGAAGTATGACAAATACTTTCGCGTTTCGTCTGGTGAGTGAGGTAGCCGGAGCCCAATTTTCAAAAGGTTGTCAACGCATCTGAAACCGTCGGGTGTAGCAGATGCCCATGGGTGGCGGTATTTACTTCACATCAGGTGAACCATCTGCTCGTTTGGCAACTTTTCACATAAAAAAATGAAGGATCTGGGTTAAGCAAAGGAACAGCCTATATATATCTCACTGATGGACAAGGGCGCATAGTTAGGCAAGCGATCCCACTGCGGATCAGCAGATTTCATATATCTTTTTTTATCAAAAAAATTTGTTATTATTTCGAAAACATGCAGGGTTCTTTACGATTTTATCTTTCATGGTGGTAGGGCCACGCAGTAGCCTCGGCTGTTGCATAAATGGGCAGGCTCGTCCGGGTAAGTACCACGACCTCACAGAAGACGGCGTTAAGTGTAAGTATAATACTTTCGCGTTTCGTCTGGTGAGTGAGGTGGCCGGAGCCCAATTTTCAAGAGGTTGTCAACGCATCTGGAACCCTCGGGTATAGCAGATGTCTATGGGCGGCTGTATTCACTTAACATCAGGTGAACCATCTACTCATTTGGCAACACCGCACGTTATAAGTCAGCACTTAAAATTAACAATTTTATTGGACCGTTTTATTGAACCGAGGTTTCTTGAGTATATTGAATTAAAAACGAGCGCCAGAACTCTGAGTATTTAGTTAATTAATTTAATTTATACAGACTAAATATAATTGCAATTATTTTGATGTTAAGAATAAAAAATAAAATAAAAAACAACCAGTGTGCGTGGCCAGCGATGACGTATGGCACTGAGACGTGGTCTCTAAAGGTTGGTCTTTTGGAGAAGCCCAGAGTCGCACAACGAGCTATGGAGAGAGCTATGCTCGGAGTTTCTTTGAGCGACAAAATCCGGAACGAGGAAATTCGCCGAAGAACCGGAGTCACCGACATAGCCCTCCGGATCTGCAAGTTGAAGTGGCAGTGGGCAGGCCACATCGCTCGAAGAACTGATGACCGATGGTGAGTAAAGGCTCTCGAGTGGCGACCACGAACCGGAAGACGTAGCGTTGGAAGGCCTCCCTCTAGGTGGACCGAAGACGTCATAAGAGTCGCAGCAACCAAGTAATTGATGGGAAAACGTTTGTTCTTCGTTAGATATCTATGGCTATGTGTATAACGCTTAATCTTTCCGACAAGATCAATTTCTGTACTGAAGGCTAGGCAAAAAGTTAGAAGAGTACGTATTAAGTAAGTTTATTGAGCACACCACCACAAATTATTCATTAGTTCATTTTTCCTCGTCCCAAGGTTTTCTGGAAGAGATCGCTTTTTAGCGATACCGCCTTATTGCACCTAGTTTTTAAAACTTATTTTATTAAATTCTTTGCGGTGTACAATAAAGTATGTAATAAATAAATAAGCCATCATACATTATTAATTATAAGCCGTGATAGCTCAGTGTCCGGGCGCTCACCTTTAATTCAATATACTCGAGCAACCTAAATTCGATCCCCGGTGCCAGCACCAATGAAGTTTTTAACTTTAAGTGCTGACTTATCACGTGCTCCGCGGCGAAGGAAAACATCGTGAGGAAACCAGTATATTTTCCAAATAATAACAAAAAAAAATCGAAGATATGTGAAGTTCGCCAATCCGCAGTGGGGCCGCGTAGTGGACTATGCCCTGATACCCTCTGTATAGAGGAGGCCTTTGCCCAGGCTGTTAGTTATAGGCTGTTACTTTACTTCACTTTTACATTATTAATTAACACCAATAATGTCTCTTATTCGACCAACTTTATGTCAATTGTGAACTTATGAACAGTTTATTACAATGTATTATTGACGCGGGAAACAGAAGCAAGCAGAATTGCCCCATGACAGATTACACTTGAGACATTTTGCATAATTTCGAAAGCTTTTCGCACCATCCAGCTGTGTTTATTTAGTAAATTTTGCCATGCCTTGTGGCTGACGCAAGCTATACTGATTTCGCATCTCCATCATTGAACTTTTCAAGATAGAAATGATATCTACATATATAAAAATGAACCCCTATTTCCCTTGGTCACGCCATCACGCGTGAAAGGCTGGACCGATTTCACTATTTTTTTTTGCTGTGTTTGTTATTATCAGGAGAAGGTTCTTATGAAAGAAAAATATTAAAAAATCGCCTGAAAAAGTCTAAAAACAACACTTTTCTATATTCCCGTACAAAAGATTCGTAATAATACTTAATAGTCAATTTGAACTTTAATACCATACCATAAAGTTCAAGTGTTAGTAGTTCGGAGGGGTTCCGAGAAGGCAAAACAAGTGAATGACTGTGGTAAAATGTCACTTGAAATGTAAACGTTCCTTTGCTGTGCATCACTACACAGTATAAAACAAAGCCGTCCCGCTGTCTATCTGTCCCTGTGTATGCTTAGATATTTAAACTACACAACGGATCTTGATGCGGTTTTTTTACTAGATAGAGTGATTCAAGAGGAAGGTTCATATGTATAATACATTGCACCCGTGCGAAGCCGGGGTGGGTCGCTAGTCGGTATTAATCTTGTGCTTTTTAAAAATTAGGACGTCGCGAATCAGTTAAGAGATGATCTAAGACTAAGGATGATAATCTCTGTCTCTGAAAATTTACGGTAAGGATGTGAATGCAGGTGCGTGAGGATTATGGTACCCTGGTCATACGAGCGACAATAGAAGCCTACGCTTGTCGATACAAAAACGAAAATGACGACAGTAATTTGATTCTTCTCGGGCTAACTTAAAAACACTTACATTAAGAACTATTGCAGTCTTAATTTATTGCACAATCCCCCTTTAAACAACGGACCCACTGTTCCGGAAATAATTAAAAGCAACAATAAATAAACCAAAGCTGCCCCTCTATCACGACGTCAATAGACACGTTTTCGGACCGAACCGGGTATTTCGGCGAAAGGAATACCAACCCCCTCCCCCCTCGAATGCTGCAAAAGTACAGTCGACAGCACTCGATAGATTTCGACGTAAACACGTATCGACGGGCGAAATTGAAATTCCACGTCGTCGCTCGGTGCGCACTCGAATTTGCACTTTTACCGTTGCAATGGAGGGAGGCCTGGGCTGGTCAGATCGCCCCGCGGCCAGGAATATACACGCGTTCCCAATTAACGACGGCACTGCGGGGCTGTAAACGGATATGCGTTATATCGGCCCCGGGCGGGAATATAATCCTCTGCGAGTCTATATACTATTGGTTTCGGTTCCGCGTGGAGCGTCGTAAAATATAAATGAATAAATATTAAACAACACATTTTTACACGTCCCAAATTAAGCAACGCTTGTATTATGGGTACTAGATAACTGATAAACATAGTTAAAATACTTTTCTTTTGGAAATGAATACATTTTATACGTATATAAACACGCAGACACTGGAAAAACACTATGTTCATCAAGCAATATATTCCACTTGCGTTGATCGAACCCATACCCTCTGGTGTTAGAGGAAGGTTCACTACCAACTACTTAATTTGGGTCGTCTTAAAAAGAGGAGGTAGAATGTTACTTCAATGTTCACTCTTCAATTGTGATTGTTAATTATATTAATTTATATTAATTTTATTACAGTTAACGTTAACCCTAAAGTTTTAGGAGATTTGAGATACATTTCTGCACGTGTACTAATTAGAAGTATACTTCCTGCAGTAGCTGGATTTAATGTCCTCTTTACTCGTATTGCTTTGTAGAAACGTTTCAAAAAGAAGCGATGATCAAGAATATAATCAAACCTCCTTGAAAAACAAATATCTAGATCCGGAACAATTGTCTGTGAGTTACACAAATACTCGTCCCGTGTGGGAATCGGACCGACGACCCCCGACGCCGAATCCAATAGCTTAGCAAAGGCGTCACCGAGTCATTTTATCATTCTTTATTTTTATATTATTCTTATCTAATACCCGAAAAGGGGAAACGTGACTTCTACTCACGACGACAGATTCCAAGCCCCTCTGAAGTCACTGCGCCACCGCCGCCACGAAAATCATTATGGAAAACAACGCATCCCGCAGTAAAACCCGTATTTACGTCCAAAACCTCGGCAATTGGGATGGGCCGGTAATTAATAACAGCCGTAAGCTTCCAAACTTTCCGACTTAATAACTTAAAACAAAGACGGGTAGTGATCGTTAAACGTCAGCGGCGCGGATAAAACTTGTGCATTAACATTAAAAGCAATTGTAAATCATTCACTACATTATAATGGAGTTTGTTGGGAGCGGCGTCGCGTTAATAATCCGACTGTTTTACGACCAATTTTGTAATTTCTTTGCGCGTCGTAAAAGCTCGCGGCGCGCCGAGCCCCCAGCTCTCTGGCTCGTGGAAATTTCTGTGAAAATATAATTCACGCCAAATGCACTGCTCCGTGTGAGCTCTCCCTAATTACATAAGTGTTGACAATGATGCACTTAGCCTGTTCTTTACGGGATAGACAGGGAGGTGAGTACGTAAACAATGCAACTGCCGAGGGAGGCTATTTTATTACCAAAACTCAAGAACAGAAATTTTATATCCTAAGGAATCGGTTTGTTGTTGCGAATAGATAATCTTGTTTAGTCCAAACATGTGGTGATGAAGTGTGAAGTACAATATGATGCAGAAGAGAAAGACTAAAAGTGAAAGAAGAAAACGAGAAAGATTTCAATGTTGATTCCATTTGTTCGATAGTGAAATTTATTTAAGACGGTTACATCCGTTTTTTAGTCTCATAATTGTTCACATTAAAAGAAATTGAGTTCAAAAACTGTTGAATTGTTTGACTGATTTGTTGAATTGTTGTTTCACGATGTAATCTTATTCTGTATTTGACACCTAATTCCCCTAAATGTAAATGGCCGTCTCAAAATGTTTGCCCAATTGTTTCAACTTGTAAATAAGATAATTAAATTTTGTCTTATCAAAATTGTATGTGTAAATGTAACATTTGTTAAGTCTGCATCGTGACAGAGTGATCTCCCGATCGACCTGATAAGTTCAAATGTCTTACATAAGACTGGCGTAAAGTAAAAGTATGTAAAAGTACTGTAAAGTAACAGCCAATATATGACCCACAGCTGGGCATACGCCTCCTCTGCGCAGAGGGTTTTTGGGCATGGTCCACCACGCGACCCCACGATTTTTTGTTATTATTTCAAGAATACTCAGGTTTTCTCACGATGTTGTCACTGCTACGCACGTGATAATTCAGCACTTGATATTGCAATTAACAATCTCTTTGGTGCCGGCACCAGAATTTGAAATCGGTAGCCGCAGGATCATGCTCCAAACGCTTATCAATGAACTAGCAGGCTTTTGAAGAATCCGTAAGTCAGTCATGGTCATACCAAGTCAGCCAATTCATATTCAGGGCTTAATAGTTGCTGTGAAACCAATTCTGCTTTTGAAATCCACAAAACGTTTGAAATTATTCGCAACGCCGCATTAATATTTAGAGCTTAATTTATATTAGCATAAAGTAAAATGCACAACCCAGTCAAACGCGATATTACGCGGCGCAGATTAAAATATTAACTTCAATGGCTTATTTGATGACCTGTCAAATGCATTGATATTAAAATAAGCAACGCAACAGCACCGCAATTGGCAATGCAACTGAATTAATACATGGCAACATTGCGCTTTCGTTCAGATTTACATGTTATTATAATGTAAATGCATAATGAAATTTTGAAGCCACAGCTCAGAGTTGACGCGAGTTATGACAAACAAACAATATCGCTGGATTAAGTAACACTACCCTATGAATTCTAGATTTATCTGTCAATAAAATTAAGTCCTGCCTGAATGGCGTGAGAATTTATTGATACGACCTGAAAGGCTCAAATTGTCGATATAAAACTTGATTTGTGTGTAAGGGAAGTTAAGTTGCAGTCTGGACAGTCTGAGTTGAACCGAACACCGACCAATGCAATTTTTTACGTGAAAAAGATCACACGAAATTACTTTTTGTGTTGGAAGTTGGCAAGCTGGCTGGCGGTTCACCTGATGTTAAGTGTTTAATAAAGTGGGTGCCGGTACTTCACTCATCAGGCCCTCACTCATCACGTCCTCCGTGAGGTCGTGGGCCCCCGACGGAGCTACCCATTCTTGCAGCAGTGAAGACTGTTTCGTGGCCGTACCACAGTTTACTTGCTATTGTTAGCCATGTTGTTATTTCGGTCCCTACGCAAGATAAAATGTGTGTGTTCATTAAATATTTGTTCTAAGTCTTGATGTGCGTTGCTTCACAAATCTGATAATTCCTGCGACAATGGCACTTTTTTAAAGTAGAGGCGACACGTTCCCTGTCACACAGCCATCGCGGTCAGGAATGGCATAGTTTCTTTTCGAGGTAAGAACAACTCATCAAGACACAAATACTTGTCCCGTGTCGGAATCGAACCCATGACCCCCGACGCCGAAGCCAATAGCTTACCAACGCGACGGCCTCACTGAGTCATCTTTTCCTTAAATTTAAATCAGTATGTGTATTGTTAAACTTAATCTTTGAGTGCATCACAACAGAAGTAATAAATTGTTTTAATAAAATAAAAAAAATGAAATAAAGGTAATCAACCAGACAAGGGTTCTTGCTACGACCTCCAGTGTTCCGACATGCAAGAGTTTAATTTCTACCCCCATTAGCTCTTCACAGCGGCCTAAATCTATTGTTTGTGAGTTCATCTCGTTAGTGATACTCATTCAGCCGCCCTGAAAAAACTTACAACGTTAACGAGCGTACGCGATGAGCCTCAAATTATTCAGCGCTCACTCAATTTGTTGCATGCCATCTCTGATGGCGGAGCACACAAGCTCTGCGTAAAACACGACCCGATTTTGCACAAACATCTTCAGCCTCTTTCTTGTAGTTGTAATTAACCTTATTTGTTTTTGAAACTTGTCTTTTTCTCCAGTGTCTGTGTGTTTTTATATTTATTACTTTACAATCACGACGGTTAAGTATTTTTAAACGATGCGACGCCTAATAACTATGATGTGAAATTATGTATTGAAATTTTTATTTATTATTAATTTTGCTTTGGTTGCATAGCTAAGTTTGATATTGCCTTCTTTGTAATAAACTTCCTTATGTTCATAATATACATGTATGGTACAGCAATAAGTAAAGCGTAGACGCTGGCAAATTATTAAATTCAAATCATTCACAAGAATTTGTGACGGAATAGAAATTAGAATTTGTCAACGCTGAAATAAAACAAGAGAATATCCAATCGATCTTCATTCATTCGGTATATTTAATGAGTATACCACTCACCATCAGGTGCAAAAATAGCCAAACAGTTATCGTAATAAAAACTAGCTGATACCGGTGACTTCGTCTGCGTTGCTTATTATATCTACAACCATACCGCTCTCCCGTCTTCTTCACGGCAAGAAAACACATACCACTGAACACGTAGTGCTTAAAAACCAGCCAAGTGCGAGTCGAACTCACGCATAAAGGATTCAATGAATCCGTAACATTATCTATGGCAAAAAAAGTTGTCTGTTGTATGGGAGCCCCACTTAAATATTTTATTATTGTTTTTTTTTTTGTATTTGTTGTTATAGTGCAACAGCAATTTCAACTGTCTAACCATCGCGGTACATGAGATACAGCCTGGTGACAGACGGATAGACAGACAGACAAACAGCGGAGTCTTAGTAATAGGGTCCCGTTTTACCCTTTGAGTACGAAACTCTAAAAATCGTTTTTTATGATATCCAAGTATTTATTTTAGATGTTCTAATAGTTTTTCGTGACGCACGTTCAACGGCAGACTTCTATAATACTATTTTAAGTATATATTATATTAATATTTTCCAATACATATTATATTATTATATCATGAAGACCAAACCAACTACCACAAAAAGCTTTGATAGGCCAGTATACTAAGTGCATTATCGTTCAGCGATGTTTATCTTATCCTTTAAACGAACCAATTCTTGTATATATATATATATATATATTTATCCCTGTTTTCAGGGAACGGTAAATTTCGCAAAAAAAAATTTTATAATAGCTCGGTCGGTAATCGGGCGGCCCCAAAACAGACGGCCGCGGCTCGTATCACGATCATTTACTCACTTATTTTTTTTACTTTTTTTTCTATACCAGTTCATTGCTTTTTTTATTTCCAAAATACATGATTTACAAAAAAAAACTGAGCAAAGCTCGGTCCTCCAGGTACTTTGCTATTAAATTAGATAATAAAATAACAGCCTATGCAGATTTTTCATACCA